AAATGAGTGAGGTCATGTGGTGTTTCTCTTTCATTGATTGGCTTATTTCACTCAGCATGATGTTCTCCAATTCCATCCAGGTTGCTGCAAATGATGAGAATTCCTTCTTTTTTATGGCAGAATACTATTCTATTGTGTAGATGTACCAAGGTTTTTGATCCAATCATCTGCTGATGGGCACCTAGGCTGTTTCCAAATTCTGGCTATTGTAGATTGTGCTGCTATGAACATAGGGGTGCATATATCCTTTCTGATTGGTGTTTCTAGTTTCTTGGAATATGTTCCTAGGAGAGGGATTACTGGGTCAAATGGGAGTTCCATTTTCAGTTTTTTGAGGAAACTCCACACTGTTCTCCACAGTGGTTGCACCAGTCTGCATTCCCACCAGCAATGCACGAGGGTTCCTTTTTCTCTGCAACCTCGACAACACTTGTCCTTTGTTGATTTGTTGATGTTGGCCGTTCTGACAGGTGTGAGATGGTATCGCATTGTTGTTTTGATTTGCATCTCTCGGACAATTAGTGACTTTGAGCATGTTTTCATGTGCCTTTTGGCCTTCCTTCTGTCTTCTTTTGAAAATATTCTATTTAGGTCCATTGCCCATTTTTTAATTGGATCGTTCATCTTCCTTTTATTTATTTGTATAAGCTGTCTGTAAATGTTGGAGATTAAACCTTTATCAGTGGTATTATTTGCAAATATATTCTCCCACACCGTGGACTTTCTTGTTGTTTTGTTGATGGTTTCTTTTGCTGTAAAAAAGCTTTTTATTCTGATGTAGTCCCATTTGTTTATTTTCTCTTTAGCTTCCATTGCCCTAGGGGCAGTATCAGTGAAGAAGTTCTTTTGGCATATGTCTGAGATTTTGCTGCCTGTGGATGCTTCTAGTATTTTTATGGTTTCCTGCCTGATGTTTAAGTCCTGTATCCATTTTGAGTTTATTTTTGTGAATGGTGTAAGTTGGTGATCTAGTTTCATTCTTTTGCATGTGTCTGTCCAATTTTCCCAACACCATTTATTGAAGAGACTGTCTTGACTCCATTGTCGTGCCTCCTTTGCCAAATATTAATTGAGCATAGTGATTTGGGTTGATATCTGGTTTCTCAATTTGATTCCATTGATCTATATGTCTGTTCTTGTGCCAGTACCAGGCTGTTTTGAGAACAGTGGCTTTGTAATACAGTTTGAAGTCTAGTATTGAGATCCCTCCTACTTTACTCTCCTTTCTCAGGATTGCTGTGGCTATTCTGGGTCTTTTACTGTTCCAAATGAACTTTTGGAGAGTTCTTTCTAGGTCAGTGAAATATGTTGTTGGTATTTTAATGGGGATTGCATTGAACCTATAGATTGCTTTAGGAAGTATGGACATTTTGATGATGTTGATTCTACCAATCCATGAACATAGTATGTTCTTCCATCACTTTACATCTTCCTCTAACTCTTTTTTTCAGTATCGTGTAGTTTTCCGCATATAGGTCCTTTACTTCCTTAGTTAAATTTATTCCTAGGTATCTTAATTTTTTTGGTGCAATGGTAAATGGAATTGCTTTTTTAGTCTCTGTTTCTGTAGTTTCACTGTTGGTGTATAGAAATGCCATGGATTTCTTGGCATTAATTTTGTATCCTGCTACATTGCGAATTCATTTATTAAGTCAATTAGTTTCTTAATGGAGTCTTTTGGGTTTTTTATGTACAATATCATGTCATCTGCAAATAAGGATAACTTTACTTCTTCTTTTTCAATTTGGATGCCTTTTATTTCCTCCTCTTGTCTAATTGCAATGGCTAGTACTTCCAGTACTCTGTCAAACAGGAGTGGCGAGAGTGGGCATCCCTGTCTTGCTCCTGTTCTTAGAGGGAATGGTTTTAGTTTTTGCCCACTGAGTATAATGTTGGCTGTGGGTTTATCATATATAGCTTTTATTATGTTGAGGTATGATCCTTGTACTCCCACCTTGTTAAAAGTTTTTTATCAGGAAAGAGTGTTGGATTTTATCAAATGCTTTTTCTGCATCAATTGATAGGACTATATGATTTTTATCTTTCAATTTGTTTATGTGATGTATCACATTTATTGATTTGCAGATATTGTACCATCCTTGCATTCCTGGAATAAATCCTACTTGGTCATGGTGTATGATCTTTGTGATGTTCTTTTGCAATCGATTTGCTAGAATTTTGTTGAGGATTTTGGCATCTATGTTCATGAGGGATATTGGCCTTTAATTCTCTTTCATTGAGTTGTCTTTATCTGGTTTTTGTATTAGGGTGATGCTGGCTTCATAGAAGGAGTTTGGAAGTGTTCCTTCCTCTTGGATTTTTTGGAATAGTCTGAGGAGGATAGGTTTTAGTTCTTCCTTGAATGTTTGGTAAAACTCTATTGTGAAGCCATCTGGCCCTGGGCTTTTGTTTGCTGGAAGCTTTTTGATGACTGTTTCAATTTCTTCCCAAGTCCCTGGTCTATTGAGATTTTTAGATTCTTCCTGATTGAATTTTGGAAGTTTGTATTTTTCTAGGAATATGTCCATTTCCTCCAGGTTGTTCAGTTTGTTGGAATAGAGTTGTTCGTATTATTTTGTAACAATCCATTGTATTTCGGCTGGGTCTGTTGTTATTTCACCTCTTTTGTTTCTGATTTTGTTTATTTGGGTCCTCTCTCTTTGTTTCTTGGTTAGCCTGGCTAGAGGTTCATCTATCTTGTTTATTCTTTCAAGGAACCAGCTCTTGGTTTTGTTGATCTTATGTATTGTTTCTTTGGTCTCTATGTCGTTTATCTCTGCTCTGATTTTTGTTATTTCCTTCTTCTGCTTACACTGGACTTTTCTTGTTGTTCTTTTTCTAACTCTTTGAGTTGTAGAGTTAGATAATTTGTTACCATTTTTTCTTGTTTTTTGCAATAGGCTTGTAGGGATATGAACTTCCCTCTCAAAACTGCTTTTGCTGTGTCCCATAGATTTTGGATAGTTGTGTTTTCATTATCATTTGTTTCCAGGATGTTTTTAATTTCTTCCTTGATTTCTTTGGTAACCCAGTCCTTGTTTAATAGCATGCTGTTTAGTCTCCATGTGTTTGATTTCTTTGGATTTTTTTCATTGTAGTTAATTTCCAGTTTTATGCCACTATGATCTGAGAAGATGCTTGATATGATTTCTATCTTCTTGAATTTGAAGAGACTTTGACTATGTCCCAAAATGTGGTCTATCTTTGAGAATGTTCCATGTGCACTTGAGAAGAATATATATTCTGTGGCTTTGGGGTGGAATGTTCTGAAGATGTTGATTAATTCCATCTTATCTAGCGAGTCATTTAGGATTGATATTTCTTTGCTGATTTTTTTGTTTAGATGATTTGTCAAAGGGTGACAGTGGGGTTTTAAAATCTCCTACTATGATTGTATTGCTATTAATCTCTCCCTTAATGTCCTCCAGCAGTTTTTTTATATATTGGGGTGCTCCCGTATTGGGTGCATATATATTTACCAGGGTTATTTCTTCTTGTTGGATTGCTCCCTTTAGTATTATGAAGTGGCCTTCATTATCTCTTGTTATGTCCTTCGCTCTGAGATCTAATTTGTCAGATATAAGTATTGCTACCCCAGCTTTTTTTTCATTTCCATTCTCCTGGAAAACCTTTTTCCATCTCTTCACCCTCAGTCTGTGTGCATCTTTTTTTCTGAGGTGGGTTTCTTGTAGACAACAGATGTATGGGTCTTGTTTTTTTATCCAATCTGACACCCTATGTCTTTTGATTAGAGCATTTAATCCATTTACATTTAGGGTTATTATTGATAGGTACTCATTTGACGCCATTTTTATTCTATACCCGTGTTCCTTCTTCACTTCCTATTTCTTTATTTTTACAGTAGACCCTAATTTGTCCAAAGAGATATTTTATCCTAAATATATGATAGGCCCCCCATTCCTCAGCAGCTATCCCTTCTCCATTCCCTATCCCTTCCATTTTCCTTGAGGTCAAAGTATTATTCACACTCTGACATATATTTCATTCATTATTATTTCATTCTTGGTCTCCTTCTTCAATTTCTTCAATGACCTTAAGAACAGACTCTACCTGCCTTTTTTCCATTAAACACCAGAGCAGTACACAGTGCTCAGAAGAAAGCAGGGAAAAGATGTTAGCATCTGCCAAAGTGTCAGGTCTGCTTGCCAAGGATGGGTGAAAGGGGAGAAAGATGAGTATATATGTCCATTAACATTATTCCTCATGATTTTCTTTTAGCATTAAAAGCCATCAATATGACAAAACTGAAACTAATATGCCAAGGACACATATTTGAGAAGGCCCAACAGTAAGTGTTTCAAGATGGGCGCCAAGCAGGCAATTCAGACCCCATCAAGTGTGCAGAAAATGGGATGCCAGCTCTGCTGAGGTAGCACATATCTGTCTCCAAGAGGGCTCAAAGCACCTTCCATGACAACTCCTGTTGGTGGTCACCCCAAGGTGCTCAGGAATCTGATGAGGAGGGCAGAATGGGAAAGATGAAGTGCAGTGATGAGGGCAGGATGGGGAAGTTAAGGTGCAGGGATGAGAGGGGCAGGATGGGGAAGACAATGTGCCCTGGTGATGGTAATTTTGATTTCAGCAGCCTTTTGTAGCTAAGCAAACCTATTGTATAAACACAAAATAGTAGGTATGGTGACACCAAACAGCCATTTCTTACCACTCAGCCTTAGGTCATGGAGGCACCCACTCCTGTGCAGGGCTCTTCACTGTCTACTCAGTCTTCTTTGCAGAGGTGTCTTTGTAGTGCGTGAGAATGAGCTCTCCTTACTCATGTTGTCAGCTCTCAGGTGGCCCCAACACCTGATATTGAAAGTCATTACAATGAGGAGAGCTGTGGGCTATGGTTGTAGCTGAGTGCCAGAACTGTGTCTATTCAGGCTACTGGTCACCATCTGCCCTCTCTGTTCTTCAGGGTGGTCGTCGTTGATTACAGCCTTGACAATGGTTTAACATTCCAGGAAAAAAAAAGATTGAAAATGACAAGTAGGAAATGTGTGAGTATCAGGGTGGTGCTATGCAAAGCTCCTGCAATGGAGGAACAGATACCCTTTAGAGGCAAGAGAGGAAAACAATGACCCCAGGCAGTCCCAGCAGGGAGTTTGATCAGACAGAACAGTATCTCACAGATCACCCAGGACCTTTCAACCTCCACTGGGGGGGGCGAGGGCGGGAGAGCAGGGAGAGAGCTGACCCCCAACTCAAGCTTGGGAATTACCCTGGGTGCAGCCAGATATCCAGGCCCGGCAGAACATCTGCTTCATCTGTGAACAAGTGTCACTGATGCACATGGAGGGGAAAATTAGAGCTCCGATCAAACTCCAGAAACTGTTCTGAGGCTTTTCCCACATTATTTCCCATCTTTCCACCTGCCCTGACCCAGGTCGAGTGGTGGAGAGGTCAAAGTCTATCTGGATTCCAGCTGAAGTGAGTAGGACAGGCAGAGTCCAGAACCTCTGGGTTACCCAGGTCCTCCAAAAACAGGTCCAGGAACAGGATGTGGACAGCCCTATACAGTGTGTTCCCACTGCATTGATGCAGCTGGTGAAGGTCTCTGAACTGACTCATAACTGGCTTCTGCTTGGGGAACACATGCTCTCATTTTGAAGATGCCTGGAGACAGAGGCAGATGGAGCAGGTCTCCTGACACTGTATCCGCACCCCTGCCTCTCAGAGGCATGCAGTGAGGACTGCTTTGTCTCCCACAGAGGACTCAGACTACCTGGTTAGGACTGGGACAGAGTGTCTGATCAGATCTAATGGTGGGGTCCATGGCCAAGGGCTTACAGGGCTCCTGTCCCAGCCCTGGCCTCCTAGCCTCTCAGTAGCTATAGGTCCAGCATAGCCTACAGGCCACTGCAGAGGGGGCGACCAAAGGAAAAGGAGGTAGTTGGGCAAGGCAGTAGGTGGGAGATGCCTGGTGCTGGTCAATGGCTACCGAGGCCCACCACAAGCCACCTTTTGTGTGCTTTCTGCAGAGTAATTCAACAAAACCTTCAGATATTAGAAGTCTTACCAACCCACCAACTCATCCAACTTACAGGTAAACCACCCCACAAAAAACCAGCAGGTCTCCAACCCCACCTCCTACCAAGCCAATTGCCCCTACAACACACAGGCCTCCAACCCCACCACCTACCAAACCACCTGCCCCTACAACCCTCATAACTACAACCCCACCACCTACCAAGCGACCTGTCCCTACAACCCCACCACCTGCCAAGCCACCTGTCCCTACAAACCTACCACCTATCAAGCCACATTCCCTGACAACCCACAGGCCTTCAACCCCACCACCTGCCAAGCGACCTGTCCCTACAACCCCACCACCTGCCAAGCCACCTGTCCCTACAATCCTACCACCTATCAAGCCACATTCCCTGACAACCCACAGGCCTTCAACCCCACCACCTGCCAAGTCACCTATCCCGACAACACTCAGGTCTCACAACCTGTCCAACCACCTGCCCTGCATTCTAGTCCACGGCCTCCTCCACCGATCAAGACCCATCTGTACTTGGTTGTGTTCATACCTGCCATGTTCGTGTTCCCCTTGCTCTTCTGTTGCATCTGGAGGCTATGCCACAAGAAGGTGAGTGACTCCTGCCCACGTAGCCCTGTGACCAACCCCAGGGAAACAGCATGCCTGCCTGCCTGATCCCAGGCTCCCATAAGCTCCATATGGCCACATGAGTGGACAGAGGTACTCTGTCCTCCTCTCCCGGCACAGCCTGGGCTTCTAAGTAGCCTCCTGCCTCGGGCTTGCTTCAGGGAGGTGGCCCATGTGCTGCCCTGGCCCCTGGGCAGAAGTGACCCCAGACATCTGAGAACAGGGCCGCCTCACAGCAGTCATGATTCAGAAGGACTCAGGGACACAGAGGAGGACGCCTTTGCTGGTGAGGAAACAAGTGGCCCCATGAGAGGCCCGGGTGACCCCCAATGGAGAATGATGCTGGCCAGGATTCGCAACCCCTGGGGCAGCTGTGCCTTTGAAAACTAGCCTGGGTCTCCCCACATCTCCAGGGCCTCCTGGCATGACTTCTTCAGTCATTGCTAAGGGCCAGGTTGTGCTGGGCCCCTGCTGGGCACGAGGGGACACACAGGAAGGCACTAACATCCTTGCAGGAGCTCACAGTCGGTATCTGATCTCACAATGCTACTTGGGGTATCAGAGGCAAAGTGTCAGCCTCACAGTGTGTGGCAAGAGCCCTTTGTAACCAGAGCGACAGCAAAGGACAGAGGCTGGCTTCAGGGAGCACCTGAGGCCATGGCACTGGCTAGCTGGGTTTGCAAGGACACAGGCCAGACGTTGGATAGAGAAAGAGAAAAGCAGAGGCACGAAAGAGCAGGGCAAACCAACCAGAAACAAGCAGGTCAAATCACGGTAAAGGAGAGGGATGAAAGAAAGGAAGCCCTGAGATGACGGTGACTGTCATCTCTAAGGACTGGACAGCCAGAACAGCTGCAAGAGCAGGGAAAGGGGATGGGGTGGAGAGAGGACGGGTTTGGGCCACGTGCTCTGTCTTCATGTGATGGTGGGCAGCTGAGGAACACTGCCCTGTGGGGGCCTCTCTCAGGACCGGGCTCCTTAGTCTGGCTGTCTCCCCATGAAACCCACAGAGAGCTTTCAATTCCCTTTGATACCCAAGCAGCCTGAGGCTCAGAGAGGAGACTCAGGGAAGGAAGGGCACCCAGATTGCACCCCCAACCCCTGTCAGCATGGCCATCAGCACCCTTCATGCCCCTCCCAGCTGTGCTTATGTCTCTTTAACCTTCTAGACTGTCAAGGAGCCACCCCCGGTGCTCAAACCAGAAAAGGTAAGTCCTGCTTTGGTCCTGATGTCAGCAGGCCCGGTGGGCACAGGGTCCTTGACAGAGGCCTCCTGCAGCCATTGCCACTCCCAGCCCACCAGCTCCACCTACCTGCACAGAGAGCCAGGAGGACCAAGAGCTGACAGAGGGTAGGGAGGAGCCCAAAGAGGACATGGAACTCAAAATGTCACCCACACCACCTGCCCTGCACCCAACACGTCACTGCATTGGTGGCCTAGGGGAGCCTGTTTCAGCCACTGCTAGATCCCAGTGATATAAAAGGGGCTTTTCTTGTCAATTCCCAAAGGACTGTTTGCAGGGGTCCTTCCTCAGGATGAGGTGAGCTTTTGGAAAAGGAACCTGGACAGCCCTGTGGGCTCTGGTGCACCCTGGGCTCCATTTCCTCAGTCCCCTCCCTGTGTCCTCCCGCGGCAGGGGCTTGGCTGGCAGTGGCCTGTAAGGACTGCGGGACTGAGGAGAGTGCAGGGAATGTGCCCTGGCACTGAACTGTGGGTGAGGCTAGGCCCAGGGGAGCACCTGGGTGAGCAGGTTGAGGCAGCTCAAACCAGTGCCATATAAACTAGGTGGAGCTGGGCATGGTATCCTTGAAACAGGGGAGCCTGGCATCAGGGTGGAGAAGGCAGGGGGTGTGAGGGGTGGGCAGGAAACAGGCCTCACAGCGCTGGGATACCCCTGAGTTGGCTACAGTGTGACTGGGGAAGCTGGATCTGCCAGAGTCAGGTAATACAGCCCTGGCACTGGCTAGTGCTCTCACCCTGACAGTCCTGCAGCACAGCACACTTCCCAGGGCCCTGCTTCCCAAGGGTGGTTTGAGGGAAACCAAGGGAACTGGAAAGTGCTCCCTGGGTTTTCTGGAAGAAAGCCATGTGTGCAGTCCCACAGGGCTTTGCTTGGGTTCTCCCTGGAGGGCACTCTGGGATGGGGCTGGCGCTGTCATTGGTGCTGGACTTCTGCCACAAACATTTGCTGAGGGGCAGAAAGCTGACATGTGTGGGGGCCACAGGAGCCCTGTGTCTGCACCCAGGAGCTGCCAGACCAGGAAGAGGACAGTGTTTTCTCTTCTAGGAGCCATGTCCCATGCAGATATGTCCCAGAGTGATTGTCCCTTGTTGTGGGTGCCAAGTTCACCAAATGAGAATGATAGAGGTGAGAGGGCTTCTTGGGGCATGACTGTGACACTGGGCTAAGGTGTGGGATGAGAGGAGCTGCAGGTTCATGCCACACAGTCCTGGCACCAAAGGCGTGACTTGTGTGAGATGAAATATATGGGCACTGGACTTTCATCACTTGGTGCCCACCCCCGGTCTTCCGTTGGGTTTAGGGATTTCTGTGGCTGGCTTGCAGCCTTGGTTCTTATGGGGGTTGTCATTAGCTTTACCAATAACTTGGGTTTCATTGGCCAGCAGATGGATGAGTGAAATCAAATTGACTCCATAAACAATCTAGCACAGGCAGAGAAAAAAGCTCTCAGCCAAGTGCCCACCACCTGAAACCACCCAGAAATGCCAGCGGCGCCTACTGTTCTTGCAACAGAGTGTGGGCAGAGTTCATTGCATGGTCGTGGTGATCCTCTGAGTTGTGGGGCTAAGGGACCCACAGAGAAAGGGCCGGAAGGAAATGTCCCTCCCAGGAAGTACTATGGTCACCCTGGGAGGAGAAAGCAGCCTGGCAGGGGCACGAGGTGACGGGGATGGAGAGGGCAAGACCCCATCGACCGGTTTGAGGAAGAGACCCTCACAGCATCTGCTGGGCTCTGCTCTTCTCTCACACAGTTCTGCCTTGTCCCTGTCAGATCTCTGGCTTCTTCCCTTAGACTCAGATGTCAGCTGCAAGGCCTGCCCTGCCTCGCCCCCTGACAGTCAGAGGGGGGCACGGAGAAGTCAGACATACTTCAGGCAGGGCTGCGGCCGCTTGCCAGGACCTTGTACTACCAGCTCCCAAGCCTGCCCCAGGGACCACCCCCCAACACACACAGGCAATGCCTGGCCCCTGCCCCAGGTCTAGGCTGCACTGCTGCCCGGGAAGCTCCTGACGACAGAGTGCTCACAAGCCATTGAGCCAGCAGGAATCAGATCCATGCCTGCAGCTTTCTCACAGCCACGTCTGCTTTTCAGGACAAACTGGGCTTCTTGTGTGACTTTGTTCAAAACTACAACCACGTGCCATTGATGTGTTGTCAGTGCTGGGACAAGGTAAGCAGAAGCTTGGGGAAGGCTCCTTGCTTTTTGCCCTTATAGTTGGCCACTGGAATTGTGGGTGAGAGGCCTCTCTGGGCATCAGCCCAGGGAGAAATGGGGGCTCAGGAGCCTCTCATGCCAATGCTGGGTGTGGCACCACGCACTTCCCATGCATTGTGGTCTCCAGAGTGTCAGGGAACTCTTATCTAGAGCATTACCTCACATGTGCCAATGTAAATAAAGGAAGGCAAACAGCAATTTCTATTGGCCTCCCAGTCCATAGACCCTCCCCTCTGACCACGTGACCCCCTGTGGGTCTGGTGGCTCCACCCCATCCACTGAATGTCTCCTGAGCTAGTCACTCAGGGCCAGGAGTAGTGGAGGGCATGTCACCCTCCCAATGATGTTTGACCAACACTGACTGGTTTTACTAGGCAGTAAATATTTCCTCCTTGGATCATAGACTCAGAGAGAAGCCAAATTGTGATAATTTTCCTCCTTAGAATAATCATGATAATGGATAAATTTTTGTTGTGTCATTCCTGTGAGCCAGTTGCTAATCTAAGAACATTACCTGTTTTTCTACTTTACTTTTGCCAGCAAAAGAAGGTATTAATATTTTTGTTCAGTTTACCAAGGGGGAGTGATGCACAGAGAGGCTGAGTGACTTGTCCCAGGTCACAAAGGCAGGGAGTGGCAGAGCTGGGCTCAAACCCGAGGCTTGACTCCACCCTTCTCCCTACTCTGCCCCTTTTGAGTCAGCACCTCTGATCTCAGGAGATTACCCCAAACCACCCAAAGGCTGCCCTACTCAGGCCTGGGCCCAAGGAGAGTGGTGCTCCTGCCTCCCAGGCAATCACTGCCTGGACTTTGCAGAGCTCAGACCCTTTGCTCAGCTGGACCAGGGAACCTGGAGGATGCTCTTGTCCCCAGGTCTGCAGTGAGGGCTGCATGGCCACATCCAGCGAACCCTGAGTCTCAGTGGATGGGCAGGTGGGCATTTAGAAGCTCTGGGCTGTACCATTCTTATCCCTTTCTAAGAGGCCTTGGGTGCTACATCCTGCACGGCCTGTTACCCATCAGAAGATGTCCCTACTGCCGTTGTCCTATGGGCCTATGTCCAATCTAAGGACCATGGAGAGCACACACTCATTCAGAAAGAATAGCAATGCTGGGGTGGTGAGGGCTGTAGGTCCTCCCTCGTCCTTTCCTTCCCAGGCTCTCAGTCCAGGAGTAGCAGACAAGTTCCTGCAAAGGGAGTCCAAAATCAGGACAGTAGTGTTGCCCTGAGAAGGCAGGACAGACTTTTGATGCTTGAACCAAGGCCCCAAGGAAGAGCCCTGGCTGCATCCCAGCGCCCATGGAGAGGAAGGGCATCACAAAGTTCACCCTATGGTCCTCATGCATCCTGACTCCAACTCCCTTGAACCACGAAGACCACAGCCTTCTGGTGCCCATCCCCATGATTTCTCAGGGACATTCTCTCTCTTCCTTACAGGGCAGGTGCATTGACGTCACTGTAGTGAACCCCCACTGCACACCAATGTCCTATGGCCCAATGACCTGCCTTGGACCCAGCCAGGACTACTTCCCCCTCAACAGCTGCTGCTCATGGTATCAACACTCCCCTCAGATATGCTCCCAACTTCCCTCAAGAATGTACCCCCTCAACAGCTTACGCTCATGGTGCCAACAACACTCTCAGATATGTTCCCAGCTTCCCTCAAGGATGCTGCCGCTGATCCCTCCCACTGCCCGTGCACTCTGCAGAACTACCTTGTCACTCCCACCCCCATAGGCAACCTCTAAAACACTAAAAAAAACCAGAATATTAAGAGCCCTTTATGTACTGAATTGGGCAAATATTGAGTCCAATACTGAACATTGAGACTTGGTTTAAAGTCAAAAGGAGTTGGATTTGTTGCTGATTAGCATGACAGATTATTAGCAGGTGAGCATTGCCCTCTGTGTGAGACATCCCTACCAATATTACTCCTGCAGGATAAAGCACCCTGGTGTCCTGTGAATGTAGACATGAATGATTCTCACAACCACAGCCTGGTCATCTCACCATGGGCGGGCATACCTGAGTTTTCAGTCATATTCAGGTCTTTGAAAAAAATCCCAAATCATATTTAAAATATTAGTATAATTCTGTGTCTGTATTCATTGGCTTTTACTAAGTCACTTGGGCAAGTTACTTAATCAATCAGGGCTTTATTTTCCTAATTGAAAAGATGGAGATAATGGTGTCTCCTGTGGTTATGAGGCTGGTACTACAATGTGCTCAGCCTAAGCCCTTAGTAAAAACTCAGGTGCCAGTAGCTAACGTCTTCCCTCCCTGGCCCAGGGAGGAGGAGGATATGAGCTCAGAGACATGAAGAAGGATTTTGGAAATCCCGAGCCATCAGAGTGGAGACCATGTCTGGCCATTTATTTACCTCTGCACACCAGGGTGTTGGCACACATGAGCATACACAGGAAGGTGATGACCATATGGGGGTCATATCTGGAGCCCACTACCCATGTAACCTCCAACAAGCCATTGGAAAGAGTCCTGGTACTTACTACTTCAGAAATATTTTCCCTCCCATGTCCTTAATATTTCTCATGATATGAAAGAAGTCAATGATGCTCACTTTCCTGACAAAGCTGGACAAGGAGTTCTTATAGCATTTTATCATGTGTGTGTTGTGATTACCATTAGGATTTATGTTGTTTGCTCATGATCCTACTCATAGTTTTGTGTCTTTTTGTTCTATATTTAAGGTAGAATAACCCCCTTGAGTACTTCTTGCAATGGAGGTTTTCTGGTGGTAAAATCCCTCAGGTGTTCATGGCTACAAAAGTCTTTATTTCTCCTTCATATCTACTGGGCATATTATTCTTGGCTAGCAATTTCTATCTTTCAATAGTTTGAATATTGGGTTCCACTGTCTTCTACCTTATAGGGTTTCTGCTGAGAAATCTGATAGTAGTCTAATGAGCTTCCCTTTATAGGTTACCTTCTTTTCCCTGGATGCCATGAGAATTATTTCTTTGTCATTAATTTTGACAGTTTTAATACACTGTGTCTTATAGAAGGCCTTTTTGGATTGAGATAATTTGGTGTTCTCTTTGCTTCTTGGATTTGAGGATCTAGCTCTTTCCATTGGTTTGAAAAGTTTTAATAACCATTTATTTAAATAGGCTCTCTGTTCTCTTCTCCCTCACTTTTTCTTTTTTATTTAATATATTTTATTGATTTTTTTTATAGAGAGGAAGACAGAGGGATAGAGAGTTAGAAACATCGATGAGAGAAACTCATTGACCACCTGCCTCTTGCACTGGGTATGTGCTTGCAACCAAGGTACATGCCCTTGACTGGAATCGAACCTGCGACCTTTCAATCCTCAGGCCTACGCTCCATTCACTGAGGCAAACCAGTTTTGGCCCTCTCTTTTTCTTATGGTGTGTCTATTATTCTAATATTGCTTTTTCTGTTAGAGTTAGATAGTTCTTGTATAGTTCTTTTTTTATGATCAAGTCTCTCTCTTCTTTCCCTTATGTCATTTTTAGATTTCTATCTTTCATACCACTAATTCTTTCCTCCATCATGTCTGATTTATTTCTTATGCTCTCTAGTTCATTCTACATTTCTTTTATTGAGATATTCATCCCCAGAATATACATTTGGTTTGGTTTTTTTTTTTAGTTATAATCATTTTTGTAAAGTACTAGTTTTGTTCAATGATTTTAGTTAAATTGAGTTCATTTAACTTAGTGTTTTCCTCCATCTCATTGACTTTTTTCAGAACTGCAATCTTGACTTTTCTGTCATTTAAATCACATATCTCCATGTCTCTAAGTTTATTTCTGAAGACTTTTCTCTTCTTTCTGAGCTGCCTTATTGCCTTGGTTATTCATGGTATCTGATGGTTTTCTTTTCTGTCTAGGCGTCTATGCATGAGTGGAATTTCTCTAGTAGATTGATAAAAAGCCTTTCTATTATTATCCAGCAAGTGGCACGGAAGCACAAGATTTTAATTGTCTTGCACTGCCCTGGCTTTTTATATCTGCAGGGTAGTGAAAAAAGTGGCCTGTGTTCCCTGGGAAGTTGGACGCCTCCACTGTTTTCAGGTTCCTGTGTTTCTGGAGACCAACCACATAGGAGAATGTGGTGGGTGATGGGGTTCCAAATCCATGAAATCCCAGTGCTGTCACCTGCAGCAATGCTGCCAGCAGTGCAGCTGCTATGGGTGGGGGTGGGGTGAGCTGGGAGAGCTGACTGCCGCCTTTGTGACTTTGCTCTCCATAATGGTGACTGGCAGACCTCAGCAGCCTCCTGTATCTCTGCCTGACCCTGGGGTGAGTCACAAAGTACACCTGTTGCTAAGAGAAATATGCTTATGTAGTACAAATTCTCTGGCTTGCAACCAGACACTCACTTATTATCTTCTCTTGGGCCTGCGGCCAGCTCTGGGAGGGTGAGTGGAGGTGAGCTCTGGAAACATGAAGAGGGTCAGCCAGGTTCTGTGGCTTTTTTTCTCTGTCCATGCCCTTTGCCAGATAGCTGTAGCCACACGACCGTGCTTCATCCCTTCCCAGGACGCTGAGCTCACCCTCAGTTCCAAGGGACACTCCTGTAGGAATGTTCATTGTATGTCTCTGCTCCTCCCAGCTGAAGGACATGTCAGCAACAGTCTGAGTCCTCCTCTCTCTGGGCTAAGTTGAGTCCTGCAGGAGCTCCAGGCTGCAAGCTCTGGGCGGAGTCCCTTACCCATTTCAACTATTCTCCCTTCTCACCTCCCAGGTTAAAACCCACATGACTACCTTCAGACATGTTTATGCATTGATTAGTGAATCTTTGTTGAATTATAGCTGTTCAAATTGTTTAAAACATCAAGGCTGAATCCTAGGGGACCTCTCACAACACCATTTCTTTAGCTATAAGTCTATCTTAATGTTGATGTGGTAGAAGTATTCTCTTTAAAATCAAGAATGACCCATCATAGCTTCAGTCAACATTTCATTAGAGAATAACTAGTGAGCACAATGTTTTTCATTTTTTATTTTAATTTTACAACTCTGTAGATAGCACATGAGAACAAAAGAGTTTAGTAATTTGTATGAAGTATCAATAATTAAATATATTTTTCATAACAATAAGGGAGTGTTTTAAAGATTGTTGGTGTGATGCCATTTACTATAGCAACAAAAATATGGGGTATTTAAAACAAGTCAAGATCTTTATAGGGAAATTCATATGAAAATCATTAAAAAGACCTAAATAAATGGGGACAGCCACATTCACTGATAAGAACAGTCCATATCATATATATGTTTCAGCATATATAAGGTTATTATAATAAAATATTAAGAGGATTTGGGGGGGAGTAGCAACTTTATAAGCTAATTCTCAAATGCACAGGAAAGAGCCAATTACCACAAGACAATGAGGTGGGTGATTTGCCTTCCTAACAAGGCTTGCTGAAGAAGTTTGTGTAAGTTGGGTGGGACACTGATACCACGTGTATGAGAATCTGCTGGGTTATCTTCAGAAACAAATTCCCCCAGTTAAGATCAGCTTCAAAGCAAAAACTTTATTGCCAGCTCACATGTCTCACTGCCCCACATGCACGATTTACCCAGGTTCACTTTGCTCAAGTGCCAGGCGACTGGGTCCACGTGAACCCTAATTACACCCTTAAAGATGGCGCCCAGGAGTGGCACATGGAAGTTCTGTGACCATTTCACTGGTGGAGTCAGGTCCAGGCCTGCAATGCATGTGGCAGGGAACCACAACCTTCCCTAAAGTGGACACCACAGTGCAGAGCACTAACACAATGTCCACACCATCACAGGTTAAGATGCTGTGGGATTGACACTAACTATATGAACCAAAGGGCTGGTGAAGGGGATGGAACGGAGAGCACAGAAACAGACCCGCATCTATGCAACTTAAAACACATTGAAGGTGGCATGCAAATCATTGAACAGAAGACCAATTTCATCAGTAATCAGAAGAATGCAAATCAAGCCCAAAAGTCTGGTCAATAGGTAAATATATAAAAATGTGTCTATACCAAGTGTCATGAAGGTTGTAAAACAAACCCTTCTATACTGTTGAAACAATACATCAAATTTCCTTCTAAAATATCATTTAAGATATCTCATTATCTTGAAAACTACTCCAAAGAGCAGTGACAACAGCTGCAACACAATGCTTTTATCACTTGTAATTTTAGTTTTATTGAAGAACTTATTTTACATTTATTGGATAAGTGTTTTCCCCATATTATCACTTTTTTGTGCTACATAAACAATGAAATAAGTTTTGTATTTTAAAAAAAAAAGTTGTTTAAGATATTTCTGAAAACATTTTACTGCCCCAGCCTGAGTTTTTGAATCACTTTTGACTCAGTTTCTATGCCCATGTTTCCCAGGGGGCAGAGACAAGCCATCACACTCAGCCCTCTCTGAATTTCCGGTTCTTGTTGATATCATTGAGGTTGGGGTGGTTTCTTGCACAATGGTAGGTAACTGGATGGTCCATCACTCACAAAAGACTTGGCATCCTTGCACGACCGTCTTCTGCTGGACAGTCCAGTCCCCTGGGTGCCTGCAGTGTTCTCAAGTATGACCATTACAACACTCCTCCTCCCAATTCCTTCAGCCGCTCACCTGCAGTGATGAGCTTATCACATCAGCTGCCCTTTCAGCTTACAGAAAGGCAGAGTTCTCAAGAACCCTAAAGACCATCTGGGGGAGGGGCCGAGCAAGGAGCTTTGAGTTAAGGCACAAAGAAGGCCTCCTCTT